TTTGGTCCCTTTCTTTTTATTATTTATGTTATGGAGACAAGAAAATAAATCTCCTGAAAAAATAAAGTTTACCATACAATCTGTTCATACAAAAAAATATTGCATATTTCAACTTCTGGTGAAAACAAAACTAACAGCACAGACTCTTCTTGAATTTTGCTGAATCCAGAAGCAACTGCAGAAACACTCATTTCCATATTGTTCAAAAACAGAGAGAGTGAGAAAAAAGGAGTAATTTTCAAACCTATTACTAATAACAATATATAAATCTCATGCAGATGCAAGTCAGGTATTCCAGTCCAAAGGTTAAGACATGGGACTACGAGATTTTCCCATTTATTATTTATTCCAGGACTTTTACATGCACACAAACTTTTCCATCACAGACAAAAGGCAGTATAAACCCTGCCTGTTTGAATATTGAAGTCACTCGGCAATGGAATTACATCACTATGAAACTGAAATTTTCTTACTGAACAGGAGAAGCTGCCAATGAATTATGAACAATGTAACAAGTAACATGAAAATAAATATGGAGCCTATTTTTAATTTCCTTAACAAATAAAGAGAAACTACAGAATGCTTACCACAAACTCATTATCAATTGCCTCAAATGAGAGAAACAAGAATGGAAGAAATAAATATAAGGAAAAATTATTCTTCTGATAGAAAGAAAAAAGCAAAAGGAACAAAGAGAATATAACAAACAACAGAACAGAAACAAAACAAAGGAGCTGAAAAAAGTTAAGAAAAGAGAAAAAAGAAGAAACAGAAAATTCCAAGCAGGCAATTCATTAGCTCTTAAAAGATTGGTAAACCCTGCCATTTTACCATTTCAAAGCAACTTTACAAGAAAGAAAAAAATATGAATGCAGAATACATATAACCCCTTTTCATAATAATGGAAACCTCCATTTACATTATTACTAATATTTATCATATCTTTGACTTCTGATGCATAGGCTTTAGGGATTTTGTATGCAATATATATATATATATAAATAAAAAAAATAAAAAATAAAATCCCATCAATAACTGTTCTCTCCCTTACATGCTGGCTACTGTCTTTCACAAACCTCCAAAAAGCTCATCTATACAGCATACACTTGAAACAATAAATTTCATAACACAACACGTCACTATGTGCAAGACACAAACCGTTTTTGGTGCATAAATATGGGAATTACTTCTAGTTTTATATTCAAATAATTGTAAGTCTTAACTGTAACATGAGAATATGACAAGGTAACATATATGGCATTGAAAAATCATACACATGCATATTAATGTGACATAATGAACAAGAAATGTATATGTAATTATTTTTTCCCATTACTTTTGAAAAGAAATGACATTATGGTTTTGTCTATGCAAAGCTAGTGCAAAAAATAGCAAAGCATCATAAACTAGTTAACTAAGTATGTAACAACTAGTGAAGTTGAAGATTTGTTTTATGATTAGTTATAGATTTCTCTTATCAACTTTGTATAATGTGAAAAAAATGACCATATGAAACATTCTTTGCTAAAGAAAAAAAAAAAAAGCTCTTTTGATAAAGAGACAGATTCTTCAAACCAACAAAAAGAATATGTGATTTCCATAATATTCAGTTTCCAGATGCATAAAATCTTTAATTTCATCTCGGTTAACCCAGTGATAATTTCGTAACTATTATCAATATCTGAGATACATCTTTGTTTTTTCTATTTTCATAAACAGATGTCGAAGTTCTTCAGAAGCAGAAACAACCAACAGCAGTCATTTTGATAGAATTTGAAAGTCATCTGTTTTCAAAAGTAATGCAAAAAAATTATTACCATTTTCTCATAATGACACAATAACTTTTATCTGCAAAAGGTGTACAAAATTTATCACTCTGTGTATATGTGCATGCATGTATGTATGTATATACAGTCTAAGCCAAAAGTATACCATGAGTGAAGCTTCAAAACCCTCTTACTGCAATGAAGAAGGGCCACAATTTGACTTTGAGAGGGATTTTGAAAGCTATTTTACAAATTTTGTTCTTGACTGTAAAACACACACACACACAAAGCATGCTCAAACGCACAAGCACGCTTAAATGCACAAGTACACAGACAGTAATGTGTGTTGCCAAACATTACCAGGGACCTTAAAAATGGACTCTTATGAGGCAAAGCTAAACATACAATTTTCTGTAACAGCCTCAAATATCGCCATGTTCTGCTTGACAAAACATCAGAACCACTTTAAGAGAAGCCTGAACAAGCGGTTTGTATGATAACACTTAGTGTGGCATTCAAGCAAGAGTGGTACATATTACCAAGAACAAATACATCTATTCCATCACAGTTGCTGCAGCTATACATTTAGATTTAAGTGTGGAAACAATAGATTTACCGTTGCTTTACAGCAAACAATTTTGGTACATACAACAGAAATGCAGAAAGATATTAGTTAAAAATAGTGAAGACAACCTTCCTAAAGTTAAGAAAAAAAAAAAAAAAATCCAAAATAAATATACTCTTCTTGTATTCCATATCAATAACCGAACACAACCTCATTTGTAAAACAGAGCAACTTTACTGATTGTCTTATGTACATGAAAAATATTTAAGACAGTGTGAAAGTGCCAAAATCTTACATCGTTACAGAAAAACACTTTTCTAGTTGATGCTCTTTCAGAACCATATGGCTTAGTGTGAGAAGTATTCATAAACATGAACATCACCACACACACATACACAACACACACACACAGGTATGCAGTATTTAATTTTCAAAGATAATTATTATCATGAAAAAAGTATTTGAAGTTAGGCTAACAAGCAGCAACAAAAATGAGCGCAGCATACATATGTATCTGGACAAAATTATATGCTACACATTTTTTTTTACATATGCTGATAGCCTAGTATGCTGTCATATCTACTTCAAGTCTTTTTTTCAGTAAAAATTAAGAAATTCAGTTGTATTCCAGAAGCTGCATCTAATTACATCCAATCTGTCAAGTGTCACTGCATGTAAATGTGTGAGTAAAGGTATGTGTATGCATGTGTATGTAACCATAAAATACCATTATCTATGAAAGTTGCTTTGCTATGTGATTCATAAACCTATGCCAAGCAAAATTTAAAATGTTTCTCTTCATCACATAAAATTATAAAATAGGTATTAAAACACTGTATTCAACCTCTATATATGAAAAAAAAAAAAAAAAGACGTCTGAACTGGTAACCTCCATTATGTACTGTAAGAAATGCAAACAAAAAGCAAATATTATTATACATAAGTTCAGATCACACTTAGCTATTGGATTATTATAAAAATGCATAGCGAATATAAATCTCGAGGGAGACATAATGAAGTATGATGAAATGTGTCTTAATAATCGACAGCTCAAAAATAGGGGAAGATGCCAAATACACGACAATATTAACACAACCAATCTTGCCTATCATTCAAATCATGAGAAAGATAGAGCTTTTCTTCCCTATTTTTTTTACCGTTTTGAGATATGCTTCATAAATCCTTAATGTAGTTCATATATATATATATACCTACCTAATTCGCTCAATGACAGTAAAAGAAGCTTGGATCAAAAAGGTCTACTAATGGTTACGACAATAGTGCATTTACTTTTACTTGCTGTTGAAAAGTGCAGCCAAGCCAAATACAATTAGGTGTGAAATGGTTTATGTACATATGGTTGACGTTTCTGTAGAATTTGACAGTCCCTAAATAAAAAATGAAAAACCGTCTCCCTCCCTCTGAAAGTACACTTGAGAGGTTCAACAAATTTTCAAGCCATAGCATATCCGGCAGCTCATTCATTATTGGCTGAAAAATAATCCAATTGAAATGAATTTTCTTTGCAAATCATGGATATAGTGACCCTTTTCTGTTTTCAGAATAAAAATAATTATGAACTATTGTATTATACTACATGTGTGGAGTTGAGTATATATATTATCACTGCTTCTCTGATCTATTCTGTAACTCTTGAGTAAATAATTTCCATCTTCACAATTGTTCATCCTATGGCTAATCAAATAAAAGGCAAAAAGAGGCCTAGCAGTGAAGATATTTACAAAATCATGTCCTAAATCAACATTAAAAGTCTAACACAGGGACTGAGAGTGGAAACATACCCGTAATGATAACTAAAAATATAAACATATACACAAAAGGATTTAGTAGAATATGTCTTCATTCAAGCAACTTTAAAAAGAATATAAAAACAGATTCAGTTTCAAATAAAAGTTTCTCCTTTCTTTTTGGTGTCACTATGAAAGGGTTTATATATCCTTTTTTAAATTAGTGTGTCTCTTGTCAGTGACCGTGACTAGTTTAAGAGAAGGATATATGAACCCTTTCGTAGTCCTTATCTTTTCAATAAATAATAGATCCCAATTATTTACGCGCAAATAAACAAGAAAGAACAACTAATCTATTAAGATTTATGGCCATCTCTTCGCTGTTCTCAATAATTCACTTTTCAGATCACTAGGAAAAAACTGAATACCTCAACATTAAATGAAAAAATGGTTAAGCTTGCAGCAGAGAAGAATCATGAAATATCTTCTTGACACTTATGTTAGTTCGAACTTATGCATATCACATTTCAGTTAAAGTATCTGCATTTAGGAATCATTCTATGAATAATACAAAGGTGAAATGACTAATAATGATACCTCAAGTACAGATTTCTAAGGCAGATGATAATAATAAAAAAATAAAAAGAAAGATATATATATATATATATATATATATATATATATATATATATATATATATATATATATATATATATATATATATATATATATATATATATATATATAGCAAGCTAACAGGATATCAAAATCAAAATGACCTGCCAAATCTCTGGTTCATTTTCACAGTTCATGCCTTGATCATATTTGTTGTTACAAAAAGGGTCTCTACTGATATCAGAATAAAAATAGAAAAAGTATCAACTACACAGCATCCATCCAGTTTGCCTTGGCTTTTTTGGACACCCAAAAGCCTTTCTTCAGGATGCCCTTGGAATACTCCTGCCGGCGGTCCAGGAACTTCCTTAGCTCAGACACCAGCAGCACAGTGGAGGTTAGACACAGGAGGTAGATCCAGTCGGTGATATGCAAGCCTTCCGTCTGGAACACCCACTGCAGAAAAGGCATGTAGACCACACCAAGCAGACAGCCTATGGTAGCTGTTAAAGCTATAAATAAGTACCAGTTGCTTGTGAGGCCAATCTCCAGGACTGACTTGCCTTCAGAGCGACATGACATGGCGTTGAACATGTCATACATTACGAAGCAAGAGAAGGTCATTGTCGTGTCTCGGGCTGTCACCACACCATCCATCATTTCAGACCTGTGATATAACAATAACAGTCAGCTACCTCTTAGGACTAATTAGTCTCACCACCCAAATATAATACCATAGAGGTCAGGGATACTCATCTTCATGCCAAATGTTGCAATATATGTATTTACATCTTGGTTAACTGTGGACATCAGTTAACAACTAGAAAATGAATAATATCTGAAGGGACCATCAAGTTTTTAAAAATCTTTACTTATCTATTTATTTTTCATTTTTATTTTTATTTTTTTGTTGGGAGAGGGGGATTATGACCTTTGCTCCTTATCCTTGTACTTCTATCTTTTGAAGAAAGTGAAACTACATGCAATAGATTAGTGTCTTGTGGCATATAAAATTACTACAGTATGGGATCACTGTGAACAGCTTGCTAATAACCCGTTAGCCATCAACTCGGCTCTGGACCCAGGACATCGGCCATGTATACTAAACTCTCCCCAATTCTTGTAGTTTTGGGAAGCAAAGGAGGGGGCGCAGCTGCTATTATTCTGGCAAGTCCTTTTTCTGCCTATTATATACATATTGATAGCTTAAGGTGAATAATATAACAGAATATATCTAAAATGGTCCATAATAGCATCAAATATGACTAAAATATATATTTTGGAAAAAAATAAATAATAAATAAATAAATTGGCAAGAGTAAATGGGGTAGCCCTAATTAGAAACTCTGATAAGCTTAGTGTGAATTGTTGAGGCATGAAAGTTATGAAAAAGGCAGAAAAAAAGGAAATCTATTTCCCTTTCTTAGGTAGGGACTTTAATATGCAATCAAATTCACACAATATATGAAAATATATTACATAATGAGTACTGGTACAATATATTAACAACTACTTCAAAAAAAATCCAAAACACTTTTTAGGTCACAATTTCGAGGGGGAAACTAAAAAATGCATGAGTTTCTACAAAGCCAAATTAGAAAGAAAAACAAAATGGGCAGAATGTAAAACTATAACATTTAAGAGAGAAATGGAAAAAAAAAAAGTGAAAAACAAAAAGAAATGTTAACTTACCTAAAGACCCACATAGTCCCACAGATGATAACAGTAGCTGAGATGACACAATTGCGGATAATTTTGGGCGTTATGAGGTCCTTCTTGGTGTCTCTGGGAGGCTGGACTTTCACGTCTTCATCTATAGGCTCCATCCCAAGAGTCAGGGCTGGAGGGCCATCCATGATGACATTGATCAGCAAAATCTGCAGAGAGAGAAAAGGAAAGCAAAATAAAGAATAGGAACACAGAAAAAAAAATGAGAACACTCAACTCATTATATTTTGAGCTTTTACACTTAATCTGAGATTGCTTGATTAAGCATAGCCTCTCAAAATGTGGTGGACTGTTTTCCCCACTTTTTTTCCCACTTCCTCTTTCTTTCTTTCTTCTTCCGTGTCTTCTCTGTTAAGGAGAGGGAATAATAAAGTAATTCTACTACCGTGTGCCAAATTTCTTAGCCTTAAACCCACTCTAATTCCTGTATACCACTTTGTCATCCTTAACCAACCATACACATACAAAATAAGAATTCTTGCAAAGTGTGGCAAATAGCCATTTACCTTTGATGTTTCAACTATTCCTTACATGGCACACCATTTCATCTTTATTTTATCAACCCATTGGTGCTGGGTTAAGGCACTATCCTTGGTAATTTTCTTCTGTGTATTTTGTTTACATACAGAGGGCTTAGTCAATATGCAGGCCTACCTGCTTAAGCTGATATCCCTATTCTTTTTTATTTTCCCCCCTAATGCTATCAATAACGTTACTATCATTGTTATTATTGACATTGTGATTATAATAATGCTACTAACAATACTACTATAATAAAAGATATGAAAAACTCTAAAAATAAAGGAACTGTCTATACACATAGTACTTAATACTACTTAGTCACCCAGGAGTTAATCACTAGTACAGCCTATCACACCTCTTTACCGTTTTCCTTGATTATCAGAAATATTGACAGCATTATTCTTTTTTTATGAAGAAAAGGGGAAATCTTGGATCTACTAATTGATTCCTTGGTAGCTGAGCAACTGTGAAGCCATCTATATGCAGACACATTTGCCAAAACAAAACTACCAAAAACACAACATTTTCCACAGCATTGGTCTAAGTATTCGGGGACCCATCTGTGCAAACATAATTAATATACCAAAATTACATAAACTTGGCATGTGTTTACAGGCCAATTCTTTCTCTCTTTCTCTCTCTCTCTAAAAATATCTCCATCTCTAAATATATCTCCATCTCTAAATATATCTCCATCTCTAAACATCTCTCTCTCTCTAAACATATCTCTCTCTCTCTCTCTCCTCTCTCTCTAAACATATCTCTCTCTCTCTAAACATATCTCTATCTCTATCTCTATATATCTCTATCTCTATCTTATCCTTTGAATTACTGAAATTATAAAAAAAAAAAACAATGAAACAAATTGTAATTTACAAACACAAATAATCTCACCTGCATAGGGTTGAGAGGACTGGGTAACCCAAAGAGCGTGGAAAGAGCAATGAGACTGAGGGCCACAAGGCTGGTGCTCACTTGGAACTGTACGAAGTTGGTGATGTTGTGGTAGATGCACTTGCCTTCCTCGATGGCTGCCCTGAAAGGTGACAGCAGGTTATACATCTAATAACGAGCTGGTCTTGTACATTGACATTTTATATCTAATTCATGGGAATGAATGGGCCGATATATCCATGAACACATAAAAATGAAATATAAGACAATAAAATCAGCCAAACTCAATTGTAATTTTGAAAGTCCTATTATCCAGTAATATTTATGTCATTATATTGCTTACACAATTAAGTACCTTAAACTTACTTTTTCCATTCTAGTCTAATTAGTATCACACATTAGCATCACTCACTCATCAAACTAGAATTACAGACTTGCATTCCAAATTTAGTAGTAAAACAGAACTTACAAAATGGTTGTAAAATTATCATCATTGAGGATCATATCTGCAGCCTCTTTGCTGACAGCTGAACCCATTTTGCCCATGGCTATGCCGATATCAGAACGCTTTAGGGCTACCACATCATTAACGCCATCACCTGTCATACTGACAATTTCTCCTCTGTCTTGAAGTGCCTATAAAAATAGAAAATACCTCAGAATTTTATTATCAGCATAAGTATATACAAACTTATTACAAATTATTTATCCTTACCCTATATGTCCTTTAGGTTGCTATGCCTAATAAACTGGCACAAACAATACTTTGAACTGTGGAATGAAGCAAGAAATATTCTGAAATATCTTTGGCAAATTATCTTTGACAAATTTCATATAATCAATAAATAAACTTACCTTAACAATTCGCAGCTTGTGCCTGGGTGACACTCTGTAGAACACTGTAGCATCTTGAATGATCCCAAGTAATACCCGCTCATCCATGCTGTCTACTTGATCACCAGAATACACAGTACCAGGCCCAACCTATTGGATTAACAATACATAATAATGAATACACAAAAAATATACAAACCAATAAAACAAACAAACAATCAAACACAAACACACACATGTGAAAAATCTAAGAATACAATGCTAACCCACATGGCATCGATTCTTGCCACCCACCATACGGACTTAGTGCATCATGGCAAGATTAGATGCACGAAAGGGTTAAAAGTGGCAGTGTATATCTCAAATATTCACAAGTTTATAGACACCAGGATTACATACCCTAAGACCGACTGCTTGGGCAATAGCACAAGCAGTCTCCTGCGCATCACCAGTCACCATCTTGACACTAACTCCTGTAGACTGGAGAGTAGTAACAGAAGATCTGGCTCCTTCACGTGGGGGGTCCATTATGCCAACCATACCCATGTAGCTCAGCTCACTTGGGGACGGACCTCGTGCAATCCCAACAACTAGATGCCAAAACAAATTTCAGTCAAAGGAAGATGAGATACTTTCATTTTAAAGTTTTAATAAGGTTCATCACTTTTACAAGAATTATCAAATGATGCAATCCAACCTGAGAAAGATTCTCATGAAATGGCATATATAGTCCTTACAATGGAAAGATATAAGGGGAAAAAACACAGCCAGTCACTTCAGATGTGAGAGGATGGTTGAACATCTTTTACATCATACATTACATTACCCTGTTACACTTCTTACTGACCTCTGAGTCCTTGCCTTCCACGATCTATGCAAGCTGACTTGATCTGTTGACATTTCTCCTGGGACAATGGGAGGGTAGCCATGCTCTGGTTATACTGGGTGCATGATGCCAGAACAGCGTCAACACTACCTTTAACCAGCCACTCCACTTCCCCAGTCTATGGGACAGAATATCAAATTAATAAAGAAACAAACAGCTATGGATGCCAGTATAAAATATGAACAATTGTACAAAATGAGCGATGTGATGGTGAGGATGTGGGTGTAGCAGAGGGAATGAAAAAAGAGAAAGAAATAGATAGAGGAGAAAAAAGGGGGAAAGGAGATAATATAATGGAAACAAGCAGAAAATTGGATGAAGAAGAGAGAGAGAGGAAGGGAGGAAAAAAGAGAGAGAGAGAGAGAGAGAGAGAGAGAGAGAGAGAGAGAGAGAGAGAGAGAGAGAGAGAGAGAGAGAGAGAGAGAGAGAGAGAGAGAGAGAGAGAGAGAGAGAGAGAGAGAGAGAGACAGAGAGACAGAGAGACAGAGAGACAGAGAGACAGAGAATATAAACTCAGATACCGAGACAGACAGAACAAGCAGGAGGGAGAGACATATATATGACTTACTTTTTTATTTCTGATTTTGACTGACATCATCTTGGTTTCAGAACTGAAAGGCACTTCTTCCAACCTTTGGTACTTATCTCGGGCATTGTACACACCATGCTGAAATGTTAAAAATTCATTATAAAGATCGCTATCTGTAACAAAAATGACATAAAACCTAAAACCAATCATCAATAAACATCACACCTGTTTAGAAAAATAACACTTACTTTGATAGCGGCAGCCAATATAGCTCCTTCTGTGGGCTGTCCCAGCAGCTGATCCCCAACTATCTCAGCATTGTTACATACAGCACCTGAAAAACAATACGAGCACAAAAATAAGATTCAGAAAAAATCTGCTATAAGTTAATAAAACACAAATTTTAGACAAAAACACATCAGGGGTAATTATCTTGCAGGTTCAGATTAGTTCGGGGACACTCGAGTACATATTAAGTCACCCCACAACAGTGTGTGGAAAGAAAAAAACAGGATACAGGGAGTCCTCATTATTCATTGTAAATATGGACCACAAATGCAATGAAAAGTGAAAAGGCAATTAATGATACACAAGATCTCATAAGAATAAATAAAAAGTAACTGAGACTTGTAACATGACACAAGAGGCATGTATCCCAATAGCATACATAGCATGCCAAAAGTAGATAATAATGGTAAGGCTATAATACTATTTGAGACATAAAATGTATGCTAAATGTACACCTTGAGAAGTAAACACTTTCATATGTGTGCCCACAGCTGATGGCAAAGTAGCAAGGCATTCATGATTCGGCCTATCTGGAAGTGGATGGGAGGAGACCATCAACTACCTCCAAATAAACATCAAGACAATGGCTTATGAAGGTCTTATGAGTGTTGGAGGGGGACGGTGGCTATCATTCCCTAGTTTCCTACAAAATGCCTTCTAAAGAATAAATTGAGGGTTGCTTGTTAGATCTTGCTTTCCTACTTGCGGGCACAAAAATGACGATCCCTTCTTGGTCACTTCCGGAAGGGCCTAATTGTAGGCACAGTGACTACATGTATGATTGTATTTCCTTTCCTGGGGTATACTTTTGTCACAGGTAATATTACACTCTAATCTTCTTCTGTAATTTTGGAAACTACATGTAGGCTATCAGTATATACATCTCTTGTTAGTCATGCTATAATTCCCAACTTAACTGCATTTAATTTTTTTTTTAATGGTATATTTTTAGCCATTTGTCAGCATGTATATGAATGTAGTTACTTTCCAGGAGTTTACTTTTGTTTTGCATTATGCATTTCAAATATTTCATGTATAAAATCACTACACTGGAATGCTTTTAAAGCAAAAGTGCAGGAAATGAAACAGCAAATAAACTTATTAAAAATAACAAAAGCCCTATACATAAACTATACAATGTGCAGTTTTAACCAAATATAAAAGCATTTAAAAATCACAATAGAAAATAGAAATCTCCCTAGCACAAGTTATACAGGGAAACACACAGCGCCTTTTGCTTATCTTAGCATAATTAAATGAATAACACAACCAACAATAATTTCTCCATAAATAACCTTAATTTTGGAACATTTTGGAACACATTATAAGAATAAATATATAGATAAATCAGAATATGCAAGCTTCACACAGAAAAACACATTTTCCATTAAAATAATAATAAAATTACCCAAATTCACAATAAATTGGTACAACAAACTCCCATGACAAAAGATCAAAGACAAAACGTATCCTCATACAAGTAGCCTACAAAACGAAGCAATCAAGCAACTGACCTGTTTCCAGAAGCTTCGTGACTGCCTCATTAGCAAGGTCAGAGTAGCCTCCTTCGAACACAATGCAGCCATCAGACGAATAGCCTACTCCGGTGACATGGCATTCATCGCCCTCTGATGTGATGATGGATGTTACAGTCATTTCATTCTGTGTGGAAAGAATTTAACATGCTGGATTACTTTATAAAGCACTAAAACACAACAGCAACATATGACCCATCAAATTTCATAAAGATAAACTTGGCTTACCAATAAAAAGTAATGATAAGTAAACATACTGCTGTATTTTTAAATGAATTTACATATGCTAACAAGTTGAAGGCTTTCTTACATAAATGAATACGGAAATAATTTACAGAAACACGTGAACCACAAAAATAAGTCAATATCTGACATGAATACTCTGCCAAGCATTGGGAAAAAAGATATCAAAAGATTCCATCTAACCTGACTGAACGTAATCAGTCTAATTATACAAAAATTACCTTTGTTAAAGTTCCAGTTTTATCAGAACACACTGTTGTGACACAACCAAGAGTTTCCACTGTATGTAAACCTTTCACTAAAGCGGAGCGCTGGGCCATACGACGAATCCCAAGACAGAGCGTCATTGTCACAACTATGGGCAAGCCCTCTGGTATTGCTGCTACAGCTAAACTTACAGCAATATTGAAGATCTGAAAGAGGGTGATATGAACTTGAAACATATAATAAATTGGTGATGAAAATATTTTTGCATCCTGTAACTTTTTTTAATATACTTAAATACAGCCATGTAAATTAAAGTATATTTCAAAACAGCAATCATCATCTACATCTTAGAATGAAGAACAAAAAATGCTACAGCCTGCCAACCTTGTGAACGGGAATGCCCTGGTACAGTCCGAGAGCAAACACAACCCCAATGAAGCAGAAGGAAAATATGGAGAGTTTCTTGGCCAGCTCATCCATGTTTTTTTGGAGAGGGGTTCTGGGAGCCTCCTCTTCCATCATCATTTTGAACAGCTCGCCAAACTGGGACTTTTCTCCAGTGCTGATAACAATACCTTTGCCTCGGCCGGTACGAACGAAAGTCCCCATATATGCAATATTGGCAAGGCTTCCAGAGGTTCCATAGGTGCTTGTGGTGACGATATTATTATTCTGGAAGCAAGAGTTACAAATCACTTTTTAATTCTTAATTCTATTAAAAGTATAAAGACTGGAGATGAGATCAACATAAGGGATATAAGAATATATATACATATTTTATTTGACATGATCCAGATATCTATGACATTCACATTACACACAACTGTAACAGTCACATATCAACACAGGAAAAGAACTTTACACACCTTGCTAGCTGGCTCTGTTTCTCCTGTGAAACTGGATTCGTCAATACTGAGATCATAGGCTTCAAAGAGTCTTAAATCAGCTGGGACTCGATCCCCAATGTTAAGATGGACGAGGTCCCCAGGAACCAGCTCCCTTGCCTGATATTCATTAACATTACCATCACGGAGACACATGCAGGTGACGGGTACCTGAAAACAAATATATGTTAAAATTCTTGCCAATGATAATTAAATACTGTTTAAAATTCTCTACCAGAGGACTAACTGGAAATATATAAATGTATATAGACATGACATAGCATTCCTCATTTACTCAAAATAATTTGAACTGTATTCATTGCAACAAATGTAGAAAAGGTATGAATGATGAATGAAAATCTGTAATATTCATTCTCATTCATACTTTATCTACATTTTTTTTTCCTTTTCATAAGAAATAAATCTTTAGCTCTTTTTACCATCCTAACACGTTGTATATGCAATATACAAAAATAGTAAAATATTATATAAAAATTACCTTTTACAATAGAAAATCATATCAATACTATATGAATATCCTCAGTGAACTCATATAAGCTTACCTGCTTTTTCAATTCCTCAAGAGCTTTATCTGTTCTAAGTTCTTGAATGAAAGCAACCGTTGCAACAATCACAATAGCAAGTGTAATAACAACTGCATCATCAAACTGGCTCATACACAGAGAAACAAAGGCTGAAGCCAGCAACAGGAGGATTAGAGGTTCCTTGAACTGTAAAAAAAACAACAAAGCAATGATAGTAAGTGAGAACAAGTCTGTTAATATGACAATAGTACAGTTATAAGCAAACTTTGGATTCTTACCATAAAACAAACAAAATCTTAATGTGGAAACAAGACATACAAAATGCACTAACCTGTCCCAGATATTTTTTCCACAAGGGGTCATCTTCAGCCTCTGAGAATTCATTGTAACCAATGACTTGTCTCCGGGTCATGACCTCTCGGGAGGGCAGGCCACTGTTGGTGTCTGTGACAAGCAAACGGGCTACCTCCTCCCATGGTAGCCCGCTTGCTTCCCGCCCATTCACCCACATCCCACTGGGAGTAGCCTTGCCCTCAGCACTTTGGTTTGTGGTTGATTGTGTGTCCTCGGAACTTGGGGTCGGAGATGAGAGGAGTCCGGGTCCCTCCTGCAAAAATAGTGCGGGAAGATGAGATTGTGTTCAGAATGCATTTGGACTAACTTTTATAACTCAAACACAAATGCATAGCCAGTGTGTTCTATATTTGGCAACTATTAAAAAATATATAGTCTACTGTTACTATGTGCTGGAAAAAAGTATCTGTACAAAGCAACTACTTTCCCATACTGCTTCGAACCAATTAATACACAAAACCCATTGTTTCCCATGCAATCATAATTCTACAGGTTTCATTTAAGGTTTTAGATGTGCTGAAGCTGTGCTCAATTATATCTGAAAATCAAACAATGACAGTGAAGATGCTAAACAAATTTTTTCACATAACCAATTCTTAAAACAGAGCACAGATCTAGCAATAGGGACTACTACTGATTATTTCAGGTTGCAATCCCTTGAACAGTGCTGTATAATAAAGCAGGTGTATTTTGTGAGAGAACTATTTCCACAAATAATAATTCTAAATATCCCACAGTAATCCCATTTTGCGGTTATCCAACAAGCAAAAACTATGTCAGGGTCAACAATAACAAACAGGGAAAAAAGAAAGAAAAAAAATGCTAGCTCAATAAATCTTTAATATTATATAAAAAAAGGGAAAGAATTAAAAATCTTTCATATCCTTTATAAACTGAAAATAGAATAAAATTGGCCCGATCCATTGCCTGCTCAAAAATAAAAATGTCAACATTCTTAGCCCTTTCAGAAGCATATAGAAAAAAAGGGTGAAAAAAAGAGAAGACATGACAGATATTTGGAAACATGCAAGTAAAAATCATGATTGCCTAACCCCAGAGAGAGCTTCCCATACACTAATGAAAACAGGTAAAAGTCACTAGCAAGGGTGCTCAAAAGTGCACAGGTTTTGTCCGATCACACAGTGATGCTATAGGATTATCAAGCGTGATTTTCATCCCCCCCTCAAAGAAGTAGGTATACAAACATTATGACTACTCCAAACAGGTATAAAAAGTATCACATAGTTAGTAAACTTAAAGTCAGCGGTGTTATCCAATCAAAAAATAATTTCTATCTCCATAATGATAAGAATGGTGAAAAATCATGAACCACTATGACAAGTTCACTATTTCCTTCCCTCTTATCATACTGAAGTGATCCAAATCAGAGAACTGAAATACTGCGTCATAAGAAATGTAGAGGAGAGGCACATTCATCGCAAAACAGATGGCAGCGGCTCATGCTAAGCAAAAGGGGAAGGACCACACCACCTGGAAACAGCTGCCACAATGGCACACAAACAAAATATACAAGTGTTACAATCCTCAGCTGTTAATTCATGGAAAGAAAATGGAAAGATCTTAGCATGCAGTCTATCATGATGAACAAGTTAGTTTTGCTTTTTACTACAAGCTTCACTCGAATTCTTCCAATCTTGACCTTCAATAGGAATCACTGGACTGGCAAAGGTATTTCACTTTTTTTGAATGAAAAAATGAGCAATAAACCAATGTAAATATAAATATGTATATATATATATATATATATATATATATATATATATATATATATATATTATATATATATATACACACACACACACACACACACACACACACACATATGAATACATGTGTACATACATGTGTATGTATATATGTGTATGTGTGTATATGCATGCTTACGTGTATGAATGTGCATGTGTGTGTGCATGTGTGTGTGCATGTGTGTGTGTGTGTGTGTGTGTGTGTGTGTGTGTGTGTGTGTGTGTGTGGTATGTGTATGTGTGTGTGTGTGTATGTGTGTATGTGTTGTGTGTGTGTATGTGTGTGTGTACATGTATGTGTGTGTACGTGTATGTGTGTGTGTACCATGTATGTGTGTTGTATGTGTGTACATGTATGTGTGTGTACATGTATGTGTGTTCATGTATGTTGTGTGTACATGTATGTTGTGTGTACATGTATGTTGTGTGTACATGTATGTTGTGTGTACATGTATGTTGTGTGTACATGTATGTTGTGTGTACATGTATGTTGTTGTGTACATGTATGGTGTGTACATGTGTTGTGTGTACATGTATGTTGTGTGTACATGTATGTTGTGTGTATGTATGTTGTGTGTGTACATGTATGTTGTGTGTACATGTATGTTGTGTGTACATGTATGTTGTGTGTACATGTATGTTTGTTGTAATGTATGTTGTGTGTACATGTATGTTGTGTGTATGTATGTATGTGTATGTTGTGTGTACGTGTATGTGTGTGTGTATGTGTACATGTATGTATGTGTATATGTGTTGTGTATGGGTGCTTGTGTATGTTTATATGTGCTTGTGTATGTTTATATGTGGTGTTGTTTATATGTGTTTATATTTATATGTGTTTGTGTATGTTTATATGTGTTTGTGTATATATGTGTTTGTGTATGTTTATGTTTTATATGTGTTTTGTGTATGTTTATGTTTATATGTGTTGTGTATGTTTGTTTAATATGTTGTTTATGTATTTTATGTTTATATGTGTTTTATGTATGTTTATGTTTATATGTGTTTGTTGTATGTTTATGTTTATATGTGTGTTTGTGTATGTTTAATGTTTATATGTGTTTGTGTATGTTTATGTTTATATGTGTTTGTGTATGTTTATGTTTATGTGTTTGTGTCTGTATGTTTATGTGTTTATGTTTATATGTGTTTGTGTATGTTTATGTTTATGTGTGTTTGTGGTATGTTTATGTTTATATGTGTTTGTGTATGTTTATATGTGTTTTGTGTCTGTATGTGTTTGTGTATGTGTTTGTGTGTATGTTTATATGTGTTTGTGTATGTTTATATGTATGTTTATATGTGTTATGTTTATATGTGTTTGTGTATGTTTATATGTGTTTGTGTTATGTTTATATATGTTTTGTGTATGTTTAGTGTTTATGTTTATATGTGTTTGTGTATGTTATATGTTTTGTGTATGTTTATATGTGTTATGTATGTTATATGTGTTTGTGTATGTGTGTATGAGTAGTGCATGTATGTATATGTATGTAGTGTATATGTGCATGTAATGTGTGCATGTAATGTGTATATGTGCATGTAATGTGTATATGTATGCATGTATGTGTATGTGTATATGTGTGTACATGTATGTGTGTATGTTTGTCTATGAGTATATATTTTTGTGCATATATGAATGTGTATGTGTATGTAATAGTGTATAATATATATATATATATATATATATATATATATATATATATATATATATATATATATATATATATTTTATATTTTTTTTTTTTTTTTTTTTTTTTTTCTTTGATATGGGTGTATGCATGTATGTGTATATGTATGTATATGTTTATGTATGTATGTGTGTATTTGTGTGCAAGTGTTTTTGCATGTGTGTCTTTGTGGGTGTGTGTATTTGTGTAAGTTTATTTGTGCATGTGAATAGTTGCATATGAATGTGTGTGAATGTGCATGTGTATGTGTTATCATGCCCACATACAATACTGTGTATGTGTAACAGAAGTATGTATCTGCTAGTGCTACTGAATTTTGACTGTAGCTGAATTTCAGTGGGTAGATGTACGGTCTGTAATAGGGTTTCCAATCAGACCTGAATTACCATGTTTTTCTGGGACTGGAAAATAATGTTGGTGTGCCAATCACATTTTTTTTTTTCTTTTAGAAATTCTTACATCAGACAGACAGAAGAAAAAGAAATTGCCAGACTTCAACCATATATTGATATTCACAATTCTAAAAAATTTACAGGAAATTTTTTTCTCATCAATATGAAAAGCAGTCAAATACAAGAGAAATAAAACAAAGAAAATACAAAATAGTAAAAGGATTAAAACATTTTCCTTTCTGATCCAACCTGTTTCAAGTTATTTAATAAACATTTACAAATTGGTTTTGATGCCATATGTAAAATGGCACCAATCCATACATGAAAATAAAAAACATGGCATAAATTCAGCTCTGTGATAACCCCTCTGCATTCACCTATGAACGGAGAAACAGACACGCACACATGAACACACACTGTTTGTTTGCTTGTTTTTGCTAGTCTCAGTGAGATAAAAAGAAATATCCACTTGGCCATCATGATAATAGACAAGGCTCAGTTTTATCTTGATATGAAAATGACAACTTACATCTTTCTTTTCTTTTTCTGGTAGGATTTTCATTATTGAGTTGAATCAATTAACCTACAAGAGAAGTATAAAAGCAGATCATTAGATAAAACAAGTTAAAAAGAAAGAAAAAAAAAAAGCAAAGTCAAAAGCATTGGAGAAGAAATGGTACATCCTGAAAAAGAGTTAAAGAAACACACAATATACAAGTGTCATTCCACCCCTATACTCTTTATATGGCAAGCTGGTGAATATTTAATATCACAGGAAAGTCTCATAGTTTCCAAACATTTAAACAAATGTAAATATAGGTAACAATTAGAAAAGTATTATGAAGAAATACAGTTTGCAAATCAAAATATTATCTATTTCTTTTTCAAAACTTATTCATACCAACACCTCCTTGGTCATACATGCTCTCTCACCCACCCCCCCTGTCACACGTGCTCTCTCACTCATGGCCTCCTTTACACGTGCTCTCTCACTTATGCTCTCCTTTACACGTGCTCTCTTGGCTACACCTTCCGTTACACGTGCCCTCTCGCCCACACCCTCTGTTACACGTACTCTCTCGCCCACACTCTCCATTACACGTGCTCTCTCACCCACATCCTCAGGTCACACACTCTCACTCACCCACACCCTCGCTCACATGCTCTCTCTCACCCACAACCTGGGTCATACACGCTCTCACACCCACATCCTCGGTTACACGTGCTCTCTCACTCATTCACTCATTTACACTCACTTACTCTTACTCTCTCACTCGCCCAGTCATTCCTGCTCTCTTTCACTCACTCATTCAAAGTCACACACTCACATTCTTGCACATATTCCAGAAAACAGATATAAAAAAAAGATGTACTAAAACAAAATATAATTAACAATAGCATTTT